TCTTTGGCTCTAATACAAGGCATTTCTTACTTGCCTGCTTGTCTCACAAGGATCTCACAAGAAAGGACATCCAGGGAGTCCATGTCTTCCAAACCGTACTGGAGTTTTGTTCCCTCCACACTATTCCAGGCTAAGGTGATAAAATTACTCCATACATTTATTTTTTTGTCCCTGCTTGATCCCCCAAAACTACTATAATAGGTTGGGAGTGGAGAGGGAACATAAGTTCAAGAGGACAGAGACAGCAGAAGAGACAGTTGCAAAACGTGTTAGAAGTTGAAAAACTGGAACGGATGATAAATTTGACTTAGACACTCCAAAAAGAAAAACAAAACAAAACAAAAACAAACAAAAAAACTAAGACCCAAGGAAAAATTATAAACAGCCTCATTTTCATGGAAAAGGGGTGAGAAGGAGAGAGGAGATTTGAATTGAGTCTTAGACACCTTTGAACCGGATCAAGTCACAATCAGAACTGGGTGAAAGAATTGAGAAACAGTAAAGTCTCACTGTGGAAATTTGAATGAGGTGTCCCCCCCCCCCAGGTTCTGGCCTCTGAATGCTTGGCCCCCAGTTGGCACTATTTGGGAGGCTTAGGAGGTATGGCCTTGTTGGAGGAAGTATGTTAATGGGGGTGGGTTTTGAGTTTAAAGAGTTCCATCTTTCTTCATACTTATATCGAGGGATGAGAGCTTTTCGAATCCTGCTCAAGCTGCAGTGCCCGTTGCTTGCTGCTATAATTTCTTGCTTTTATCCCTCTGAAATCATAAGGCAAAATAAAATCTTCTTTAAGTTGCCTTGATCACTGTGGGGTTTTTTTGTTTGTTTGTTTGTTTTGTTTTGTTTTTGTTTTGTTTTGTTTTTTAAGACAGGGCTTCTTTGTGTAGTTCTGTCTGTCCTGGACTACAGAGATTCACCTGCCTCTGTCTCCCAAGTGCCTGGCTGACCACGGCACAACATGGGTTAAGGATGCCAGAAATGTTCCAGATTCATCATGTGTTTGCTTTTGAATTAAGTTTTCAGCTGTTGCACATTAAGAAACCTTTCACTGTTGCCAATTTTTTCATGACCCCCCACATTCAGAGTGGAACACTACCCACATTTTGGGAAGCTGTACCTTATCCCTCATCACCAACCTCCCCCACCACAGTGGTAAGTTCATAATAGCTGATGAATCGTCATTGATATGTCATTATCATCTAAAAACCCATGGTTTACATTAGGGTTCACTCTTGTGGTCATATATTCTACAGGTTGGCACAAATGTGTGACTTGCATTCATCATCACAGTATCATACAGTATTTTCAGTGCTCTAAAAATTCTCAGTGAATTTTAAGAGGAAACAAGTTTTCTTCTGTGTTGCCAGGTAATTGTTGCTTTTCTAGTAGAGGGACCAACAGCAAGAGTTGCAAAGAGTGAAAAAGCATGGTGCTGTTCTAGAAACAGCTGTAAAATAAGACTCAAGTGCCAGACGGAGCAGAGAAAATGAAAAGCCAGACACAGCAGATTTGCACATCAAGAGAATATCTTGAGAGAGAAAGAGAGAGAGAGAGAGAGAGACAGAGAGAGAGAGACTAGATCTGCATGAGAATGGATTGAGAAGTCTGCAACAGCCTAGGGGAAAGGTGAGGAGGTCTGTTTTATACCAAAGTGAGAGCTCTATCATCAGCAAACCTATGTTCAAAAGGCCTTCCTGGAAATTGCTAGATTGCAAGGAGGGAGAGGAGAGCCTAGCTCCCTGACTCGAGGTGTGAGGGAGGAAGTGGTCACGGCAGCTGGTTCAGAATAAGCTTTATTAGGAAGTGAGAGCCTCAAGATCATGGAGGGCTATTTTCAGGCTTAGGCTAAGAGAGTACCAGCAGTGACAGCATCATCTCAGAGACCTTGAAGAGAGGGGAGGAGTTTGCCCTAACACTTAGAGGACCCTCATCAGTAGAGATAGCTTAAGTGGAAAAATAGAAAACAGAGCTGCAATGTACGGTGTGACAGTTATCCTGAGAGGAAAGTCTTCAGATAACCCAAAACAAGGGAGATTTTACTTATTTGACTTATTCTTCTACAATTGATTTTACTTATTTGACTTATTCTTCGACAATTTCATACATGTATAGATCATCATGTATCTTGATCATCTCTCTCTCCCACAGACTCCCCTTAAGCTCCCTGATCCTTCTCCTCCCACCTAAATGCCCCCTTTCTCTCAACTCACTGAATCTAATAAGTGCTGCCAACATGGGCACAGGGATGGTGCCATCCGCTGCAGTATGGGAAACACACTATCAGACACATCCCTAAAGAAAATTGAAACCTCCTTCCCCAGAAGCCATCAACTGGCAATAGCTTCTCAGTTAGGGGTGAGGGCTTGTGAGCTCTCCCTCCATCCCTGCTGGAATGTTCACTGGCTAAATCCTGTGCATGTAAGCACAACTGTTGTTGAGTTCACACGTGCCGTGGCCATGTCATATTCAGAAGAAAGCATTTCACAGCATCCCTTCGCATCCACTGGTCTCTGCGTTCTTTCTGCCCCTCTAACATGATATTCCCTGAGTCTTGGGGTAATAATAGATGTCCTGTTTGAGACTAAGCATTCAATAGTCACTTATCCTTAACTCTTTGACCACTTATGAATTTCTGCATTATCTGCAAACAAAAGGTTCTCTGTCCAATCTTGGGAGCAGCACCAACCCATGAGTACAAATATAAATATTTAGAAGCTTGATAACATGAACATTTAGAACAACAGTACTTAGATCCCCCTAGGGCTTGTCACCTCCCAAACCATCGGCATTTGACCAAGTTTACAGTATCAAGTATGAATTCCTTCCTGTGAGGCCGGCCCCAGGCCCTAGCAGAAGGTATCCAGCTAAACCACAGCAGTCATCCCACTATTCCAGTGGGAAGATCTTGACTGACAGATCAGTATGGCAGCATATAAGGTCCTGTGCTGGGTAAGACCATTATTTTAGTTTGCGTTGTGATAAAACACCATGAGCAAAAGCAACAAGGGAGGGGAAGGGTTTATTTGGTTTACATTTCCAGGTAACAGTCCATCACGAAGGGAAGTCGGGACAAGAACTCAGGGCAGGAATCAGAAGGAAGGAACTGATACCCAGGGCACAGAGGAATGGTGTTTACTTGCTCGCTTCCTATGGATTGCTAGCTTTCTTTTGTTTCTTCCTTTTTTTTTTTTTTTTTTTTTTTTTTTTTTGGTTTTTCAAGACAGGGTTTCTCTGTATTGCTTTGAAGCCTGTCCTGGAACTCACTCTGTAGACCAGGCTGGCCTTGAACTTGCAGAGATCTGCCTGCCTCTGCTTCCCAAGTGCTGGAATTAAAGTCATGAGCCACCAACGCCTGGCACTAGCTTTCTTATACCACCCAGAATCACCTGCCCAGGAGTGACACCACCCACAGTGGTTTGTGCCCTCTCTCATCAGTTATTAATCAAGAAAATGTCCTACTGGCTTGCCCACAAGCAATCTAATGGGATCATTTTCTCAAGTGAGATTTCTCTTCCAACATGGCACTAGGTAGGGGAAGATGAAAACAAAACAAAACAAAACTAGCCACACAACCTTCTGCAAGGGAGATTCCTAACATTTATAGGTTTACACAAGGTAACAAGTGATACTGCCCACAAAGGGTGGGGCCCCTCGCATGTCACCCATCAATCATTAATCAAGAATATCTCCCACAGATGTGCTCACAGGTCTGCCTGATACAGTAATCCTCCAGCTGAGGTTCCCTCTCCCCAGATGACTCTAGTTTGTGCCATGCCCCTTCTTCTTTTGTGCCCCATAAAAGATGGCCTCAGACAATAATCCAGGCACTTGGGTGTCTTCACTCCTGTAGCCTGCTGCTTCCTTGCAGTGTATTCTGAATGTTTCTTTTTTGCTTTTCTTCAAATAAAGCTTTCTTGCTACTTTCGCACATCTGTGTGGGCTTTTATTTTAATTCCTTGAAAAAAGAGACCAGCAACATGAAAACACTCTATCCTCAAGTAGGGTAACAATCTGCCTTAGTTTATATGCTAAGGTGAAGAGATTAGGTAGGCCTTCACAATAGCAGCAGAGAAGGGGAGGAGCTGCAAGGCCGCAGCACAGCGGGGCTCCCGAGAGCAGAAGAGGGAAAGGGGGAGAGGGAGGGAGGAGTGAGGCGAGGGAGGGGTGAGGGCGGGGAGATTTCAGGCTGGTGTGGCCTGATTCTAGGAGGGGAAGTTGGGTAGAGGGCTTGTAACCTAACATTCACTGATTTCTTCTTACTTCCCTTTTCGGGGGAGGTTTATGGTTTGCCAAAGCAGAAGGAATGGGCTGCTAGGCATTTTCCATGATGAATTAACCCACAAACTATTTATGGTTTATGTGAAGGATCTGGGAGGGGGAGAGGGGTATCTCAGACTGGAAAATGGGGAGTAAGGTAAGGGGGGGCCTGAAGTGCAGTGCGCATACACCCTGCTAAGAAGCCTAGCGGTGATGGCTGTGAGAACTGCATGCTTCCACTGATCTGCTAGAATGGGCCTTGCTATCACAATAAGGGCTCAGTGCTCCCAAATCCCGAGTCAGTTTCTTGTCTATAGTGTAAAAAACAAGCTGGGCGGTGGCGAGAGTAATGGGTAGATAAACAAATGAATAAATAAATAAATAGAGATAATTAAGTACAGGGACGCACTGTTTCTTGGATATACTCGCTCCCACTGTGCAGTCACTGGCCTGCAGCAGGTGGAACATCTTAGAGGTACCCCACCTTTGAGGACTGTTGCGCCGGATGTTACGACAGAAGCCAAATTGCACTCTTTTAACAGTTAAAAATGTTCACAGACACGGAAAGGACCAAACAGCGGAGAAGATGTGACCCTTACAGCTCAGCATCAGGAATCCATCCTACGGCGTAGCCAACAGTGTAACCCGGCTACGGAGCGCGCCGCGCCTGCGCACTGCAGACAATGAAGCCGCGCGCCCTCAGCGAAGGAGGCGGGACTTGCCCGGGCATCCGGGTCCCACACCCCGCCTCCGCGGCATGAATGAGAGGCGCGGCGCCCGCCCCTCCCCCGCCGGGCCCGCCCCTCGCCGGGGCCGAAGCTATCAGTCGCCACCGCCAGCTCAGCGGCTCGGACTCGCGGACGCGGCTTGCTAGCAGTACGCTGCCCGAAAGCTGCCGCCGGGCGCCGCAGCCCTCACGCCTGCTGCCCACCGCCCGGGTGAGTGAAGGGAGGGCCGAGCGTGAGGCCGCACGGCTGAGGCTGAGGCTGAGACGCAGGCTCCGCAGGTTCGTCTCTGGGATGCTGAGGGCAGCGCGCCGGCCTCGCACCGGCTCTCAGAGCCGGGGGTGGGGGGCGCGGGGCAGTCCCACACACCCGCACAAAGGGCGGCGCGGGTTGTCACCCGGAGGTCACCTCGGGCTGGGCCCGGGGTGGGGGAGGCGGGATGGGCGGAGGATGGAGGAGCCGCTGCCTCCGCGTTGGTGGTGGGGACGGACGCGCGTCTCGGGGACGCGGTGTGGCAGTGGTTTTCTGGTCCCGAGCCACTCCTTCCTTTGTGGTGCTTGTCTCGTGCCTGGTTGTCACACTGTGCAAGGCAGTGGTCTGCACTGGCTTATTTACTAATGGAAGTCATATGGCGGCCTCATCAACTATGGGTGGGGGGGCGTGTGTTGCACCCACAGGCCAGAGAATTAATGACCCTGCTTTGTTTCCGGAGACCCAAGGGGTGTGTGTCCTGTGAAATGGGACGGTGTGAGATCCTCTAAAAGGGAACATGGAAAAGAAGTGTAAAGATAACTTCTCATCTTTACCTGTCCGCCCCTGGTGTTATTCCAGATAACAGTTTTTCTGATTGATTGGTTTTGGTTTTGGTGTTTCTTGTAAAAACAGTGGGTCTGTTCATTGAAAGTGTAAGTCTGTATTATGTCGTTGGATATTTAGAACACATTGCTTTTGGGGTTAATGGTGAGATATTTATGGGTCGGGGATACACCAACATCCAGAACATTGCTTTCTGGGCTTAGGTGGTTGATAATGGGTCTTTGTATACATATCTATAGGAATACTCCCATGTATCTAGGGCACTGCCGTACGCACTCCAGTACAGGTGGATTGTGTTTCTTGCCTCCCTGCTTTACAAAGTAAAAGGTGGTACAGCAGGTTCTCTTCACCTCCTTGTTTGTCCGGCCGCCTGGTGCCCGCTCCCCATGCTTTGGCAAAGGATTTTATTGCATATTATCCTGGCATGCACTCTGGCTTTGATCTGAATTTTCTTGTGTTTGGTTGTGCAGCTCATCTTACATGATTACCTGACTACCAGAAAACACCTTTCTTTTTTATTTATTTATTTTTTTTAATTTGCCGGGCGGTGGTGGCTCATGCCTTTAGTCCCAGCATTCGGGAGGCAGAGGCAGGTGGATGTCTGTGAGTTCGAGACCAGCCTGGTCTACAAGAGCTAGTTCGCTAGTTCCAAAGCCACAGAGAAACCCTGTCTCAAAAAAAAAAAAAAAAAAAAAAAAAAAAAAAAAAAAAAAAAAAAAGACACCTTTTCTTTTTTTTTTTTCCCATCCCTCAAAGAGAGTAGGAAGCACTGCTCGGTCCAGTAGACTGACTTGATAGGACCACTTGCCTGTTCACTTAACCAGCTAAAAAAAGGTCTTTAAGCTAGCATCATCAAGGTGTGGCAGCCAACGCCTTTCATCCCTTCTCTTGGATGGAAGAGACAGGAGAATCTCTGTGATTTCAAGGCCAGTCTGATCTACATCAGAATTTCTAGACCAGAACTACATGATGAGACCTTGTCTCAACAAACAAGCTATATCTTGTTATTTTAAGACAGATTATTTGACTTTTATAAGATAGTTACTATTCTAGTTGGATAATGATATTTTGGTTTCTTTTTTACCCTTTTAATTTTGTAGAGTGAAAAAGCACATTTCAGAAATATTTTGTTATGATCTTTTGATTCAAAGTAGTAGTAGTGGAAAAAAACTGAGGAGTTTATATATGATTAATTGAGTGGGTTCAGGTTTCTTTAAGATTCTCTTCAAGATTATTTATTTTTGAGTCACATATATTTTCATTCCTAGTAAAATTTCAGTACAAAATGAAATGTAAACCTCCACAGCATCTGTTTATGTATAGATTCCCTGCTTAAAACATTTGCTTTTGATTTGAAGGAAATTTTCCACTGGTTGGATGACAACCCATTATTCTTAATAAAAGTCTTGCCTTATTCGTTTTTCTTAAACCAAACCGTGGGTCACAACCCAATATGGGATTGCATAACTGAATGTGGGAGTCACAAATAATTAGCAATCAGAAGTTTCTGAATGTTCAGTGATCAAAAATAATTCAAGGGGTTGGAGATGTAGTTTAGATGATAATGCATATTTGCTTAGCATGTACAATGTCATGCCCTGGATTTGGTCCCTTGGACTGAATTAACTAGATTTGGTATCCCATACCATTTCCCCTTGGGAGACTACAGGCAAGAGGATCTCCTTGGCTACTTTAATGGGTTTGATGCCAGCCTGCGATACAAGAGACCCTGCTAAAGTGGTAATAGTAAGAATAATTCACAGACACATAATAGATCTGAGATGTTCTGGCTTTGCTAGTGTGGCAGTGCAGGACATCCTTGAATGCAACCTTGCTTCTGAGTATGCTTAGTCACCTCATGCTGTCTGTCACACCAGTAACAGTAAGTGAGCCTCAAGTACCTTGTCTCAGATTCGAGGCCCTTGTCTATTAGAATTCAGTGGTTTTGTTTTGTTTTTTCTGAACCTAGAAAGTTCTGTGATCCCATTGAAACATAATGGTTTAAAGCTGGTGGTGTGGCAGAAACCTTTAATCCCAGTACTAAGGAGGCAGAGTTCAAGGGCAGCCTGGTCTCCAGGATGAGTTCCAGGACAGCCAAGGCTATACAGAGAAACCCTGTCTTGAAAAACCAATGAGTGGATGGATCTTTGAAGAAAGAGAAAAATACTGTACCTTTTGTATTATTTAATTTTCTTTTAGATAGGGTGTCACCACATAGACCTGTAACTCACTATGTAGACCAGGATAGAATATTTTGGAGGCAGTGGCAGGCAGGTGGAGCTCTGAGTTCAAGGACAACTTGGCCTACATAGAGCTGTTTGAGTTGCTAACTTGAATTTCATTTAAATTTTTTTTTGAATTTTGCTTTGGGATTAGATTTCCAACAACTTCAGAAATTGTCCTGTATCAGTTGTTTTTCTCATTGCTGTGACAAAAATAACTGACAAATGACTTAAGGGAAGGTCTGTTTTGGCAGCTTGAAGATGTCATAGTAGGGAAGTACAAGACAGGAGTATAAATAAGTCCCTTGTTGCATTATGTCTAGTGGAGAAGCTGAGAGTGGTGATAGATGCTGTTTTCCTTCCAGCTTGTGAGGATACTGCCATTCACATTCAGTGAATTTGTGTTTTATGTGTCTGGATGTTTCACCTGACCTGCAAGTGTGTTCGTGTACCAGTGTGCTTGCCTGGTGCCAGAGGAAGCCAGAGGAGAGCATCAGATTCTCTGAAACTGGAGTAGCAGTTGTGAGTGGCCATGTGGGTGCTGGAAATTGAACCCCAGTCCTCTGGAAGATCAGCCAATGCTTTTAACTGCTGGACTTTTTCAGCCCAGTCTTTTCAGTCAAACCTTTGGGAGCAGAGGACACCTTTATAGACATACCCTGAGGTATGATTTTTATGATTCTCCCATCAAGTTGAAAATCAACATGAACCCACATAGGCCTTAAACATACTTATTCCATGTTGTACCATATATTTGTATAAAGCAGCACTTGAACTTTGACATTATAAAATCAAAAGACTAGTCATCTCTAAATGATGGTACTCTATGAACTATCAAATATTTAGCCACAATTTAATTCTCTATATAAATATCAACATATCCATACAATATGCAAATTTGCCTTTTGTCTTTAGTAAGTGGCAAAATTGTATATGTCAAAGAGTAATTTAAATTTTTTTAAGTTTATTATCAGTAAATGTTTGGTCTGATATGCCTGTATTCCTGAGGTCACACAAAAAATCATTTCTGAGATGAAAGGGGATGAAAATGATAAGATTTTTTTTTAGTACCTTAAATTAGTAAAGGTTAACTTCCTTGTTTGTTTTTGAGACAGGGTTTCTCTGTGTGTAGCTCTGGATGTCCTGGTACTAGCTCTGTAGACAAGGCTGGCCTCAAACTCACAGAGATCTACCTGCCTCTTGCCTATGCAGCTTTGGGATTAAAGGTGTGTACCACCACCACCTGGCTAAAGGTTAACTTTTATGTTGATAGGCTTGGGTTTTACAATGTAGAATTTGTTTATTTTTGAGACAGGGTTTCTCTATAGATCAGTCTGGCCTCGAACTCAGAACTGCCTGCCTCTGCCTCCCAAGTGTTGAGATCAAAGGTGTATATAACTATACCTGGCTGAACTTTAATTTTTTCAAGTGTGATTCTTTTCTCTCTCTCTCTCTCTCTCTGTCTGTCTCTCAAGACTTAAAGATTTAGAAGATCTCAGATAGAAGTCCCCCTTCACCAACCCTGAAAACCTGTCCTTAGGACTCTTGTGTTTCTCATATCAGGAACCACCCCTCCCTCTTGTCTTCACTATTCATGGTTCCTGTATTTATGCCCTTTCTCTTGCATCATTAACGTTACACAGGTCTCTCCATGTCAGCTCACAGGCATATTCTCTTGACATCTTTAAAAAACAGCACTAAATTTAATAAACTTTTTTTTTTTTTTTTGCCTTCCACCAGTCTGTTCTGTTTACCTGATGGTTAAATGTCTCAGGTGAGAAGCACACACTTTGCCTGTGTCTATGTAGGAACCATCATTCCTAGCTGGTATTGTTGACTTTCTTTCTTGTCTCTTAGCCCTACTAGAATGCCAGCGACAATAAGGCAAGAACCTTATCTATTCTGTAATTCAATATTCAACCTAGTCATCTAGCTCGTGCCTTTTGATTTTCCATTTTTTTTAACAAGAAAATAATTTCATCTTTGTTTTATTTATTCATTTCTACACTAAAAGTTGCTGGGCAGTGGTGGTGCATCGCTTTGATCCCAGCATTTGGAAGGCAGAGGCAGGCAGATCTCTGAGTTTGAGGCCAGCCTGGTCTATAGGGCCCAGGGGCTTGAACTCAGGGTTGTAGGCAAGCACCTTTACCCGCTGAACCGTCTCATCAGTTCTCT